GGGGGGGGGGAAGACTGGAAGTAAAAACAAGAGCTACAGTACCGTGTCCAGCTTTCTTGCTCATACGGGGAACCCCCATCTGCAAGTTAAAAATACCAGTCTCATGCTGTAATTGCTTGCACACCAAGGTAATCTTATCAGCAAATGGATCATCAAAAAGAAATGGAGGGAAAGGGAAATTGCAGACAGAAACAGCAAGAAAAACAGAAGAGATCATTCATGCTTCTGGATCACACCTTACAACAAGTCTATGGGCCAAAACAAAAACTTTGGGCAGGCGTCAGCTGATGAAGTGGGGAGTGGCTGAGCTGAGCTTTGCACCGTTAAAAAAACAATTTCAGCCATGAGCTGCGAGAGCAGAGTATCAGTTAAATGACTAACTGAATCAGTACAGTCATAAACTGGAACAGCAATCATCTGTCAGATTCACGCCACGTTTTAAAACAAAAACAGTTACACAACTTCTAATTCCACTATCAGAATGTACTTGACAAGTTAAATTAAATTTAAGCTTATTTTAAACAGCCTAAACCTCGCATCTACAGGATAAATCATGCATATGGCAAAATGTTCTTCCAGATTCTCTGGATGCCAGATCATCATCTCAGAAGGGTTCACTCAACTCCATTCATTTAATTGAAACACAAGCTGTAAGGAAGGCCTGGTTATGACTCTGCAAATTAAAGGTCTTTCCAATGAATTAGAAGACCAGAGAAATCTGTAAATGAAGATTTGTTCAAGGAAGAAAATACAAAAATTTTAAAGAGCTTAAACACATCAACCATCTTGGCTATAACCAACCTTAACATGTTCCTATTACTTCAGAAAGAAAGGTGCCTCAAAACCAGGCTCTCTTCCCTAGTAATCACTATTGCAAGCAAAGGACAAACATCAGCTCCTATAATCGGCTTTTCTGAATGGTAGGTAAAAGATCTCACAATTTCCTCCTTGGTGTCAATATCCCTTATCATCACCACAGTAATTAAACTGGAATTAGGAAAATGCTATTGGTACCGCTCAAAGTCCTATGACGACAGTTTTCCAAGTCCAGATGTCACATTCATTCACTCTGCATCACTGCGAACCCTGACTCCCTGGATTATCTTGTTCCCTCTAGCTTCGTTCCTCATTTTCTCCAGTACTAAGGCTTGTGGAGGCCCTCCCTCTCTCTCACCAGGGTAAAGCTTTTTCTCCAGGCATTGTAACTGCTATACATAGAACGTGCACACAGCTCACTGGTTAGAGATGCAACTCCTCCCAACTCGTATCAGCACCCGTATCAGTACAAAGTTCAGCTGGGAATTCCACTCCATCCCATGTACCCACACGCAATGCAGCTCCACTTTGGCTGCAAAGAGGAGGATGGAGTTTTTCCATCTTCAGAGCCTCAAAACGATCAAGGAAGTCTCACCCGTTCCACCTGCTTATCTTTTGATAATCTTGCTTCTTTTAGAGGCTTCTGCACCTCTGGTCTCCTCATCCGCACAATTTTCATGCTGGCAGGGGCAACACTGATACATGTATCAGTTCTGAATGCTATGAGAGAAGAAACAATCAATACTCTCAATTCCATGTTGCTGCTCATTTTCCACAGCACCAAAAGCAAAAAGGTTTTCTAACTGCAGACTCAGGGAAAAGGAGACCAAACTAACCTGCATTAGGTCGATTTTCAGAAAGTATTACCAGCTGCATATATGACAGCTTCCATGAACTCATCTCGTTACACCTCAAGGGGCACATTTTATTCCTACTTTCCTCATCTATATTCTGTACGTGCAAAACTCTTGGGTTTCTTTATTATACAAAATCCTCTAAATTCACCCTGATGTTGTATCTGTAGGCTGCCTAAATTCTCCACCTCTCCTTCTATCCTACCCCTCCTCTAACCCTCTGCTTTTTCTACAGCATCTATATATATATATGACTTTTGCCCCAAAGCAAGATCAGAATCACCTCCCTCTTACACAGCTTTTGCATGCTATTTCCTCCCTCTTTCATGTCAGGATCTCAAATTAACCCATTCCACATTCAGTCATCACCACTGCAACCAGAGTCCCTACAGTATCTTCTTCTAGTCCACGCCATAGTCCCAGCAATCCCAACGCGCAATTTCTGACTATTCCACCCTCCCACCCTAATATATCATTCTTAGTTTTCTCCTGTACTTAGGATTCTGCATGCCCCCCCCCGCCCAGTCATTTTCTCCCTGCATCGTAACTGCAGTTCTCCTTTCCTCTCTGAAAAGTAAATTATTCACAGGATTAACAGCACAAACCTGTTCTTTAATCTACAGTCAAATACAGAACCACTTTAAAAAGGCTGGTTGCTCTCAGCGGAAGACTCTGTGCATCCCTCACTTTCTTACAGCCTTCTCTGCAAAAATATACAGTTTAATGAATACAAAGGTTTGAATTTATATAGGAAGCTATGCTGCAAAATTTTAGCTATAGAAACCACTTCCTCTAAACAGAAATCTGGAGACCCAGACGCCATACAGGCATCATTTGCCTTGGAAAATGTTGTTTAGGCCTGTATTTAGGTTTTCAAGAAATAAATCAAAGGTGAAAAGATCTGTTCTCTGCTAACAGCCACTAAAACATCAAATACTTATGCCTGTCAGTATGCAGGTTCTGAGAAAACATCCTTTCCAGATACAAGGTGCAGAATCTCCTCTTTAAAGACAAATCACTGCTTCCAGGAGGGTTCAATTAACAATTATTCAGATAACACCATTGCTACCATCATTTCTTTTACCAACCTGCAAAAACATTTCATCCTGTTATTGCAATATTGTTCTCTGAGATTTATTATCAGGATTGTGTAACACTGGTAGGATATTACGACAATCTGAGTGAATATGGTTATTATTTCCACAGCTTTGCTAGAAAGATAGGAGTTTCTTCGCAGATATCCTTGAAAACAAGAAGGCTTCATCAAACATATAAGCGTATCATTTCTGAAGACTTTTCCTAAGTCATCTTTTGGGCAGGATCAAGAAAAAAAGCCCCAAAATGAAATGCTTCAAAGCACTGAAATGACGTACTTAAAGCCCACTTGTACACCAGCAATCAAAAACCCAAGAACAAAAAGATACATGCAACATTCTGACCAAAAAGAACAAGTAATTTAAAAAAAAAAAAAACCACACATGCAAAGGTAAGCAGCCAAACAATGTAATCAATAGACAAAAAGGCATATTGATAATAAGAATGGTTCTCTACAAGCCTGGCTCGTCCTATAAATACAGATATAGACCACAATCAAAGTAACCTAAGCCTACAGAACAGCTATAATTTATCTTTCCTTTGAAAGAAAGGAAACTCGCTTAAACTAGGTAATGGAGTGAATGTTTCAAGTTCTTCGTATTTCAATGTTAATGCAAAAGCACAAACATCTGGTTTAAGGTCACTGGAGACTGGGAGAGCATACACTGGAAATAAAAGCATATATTCTTGTATTGTCTTCCTATATTCTTGTATTGTCTTTTGAGCATGTACTGTTGATCACAGTCAGCAAAAATCTGAGCAACAATCTAGCCTAATAGCTTGTCTTACCTCGTACAGCCGTTTCTATCCAGCCCCATTAATATTAAAACTAACCCAGCACTCCTCCCCTTCTCCTGAAGGCCTCAAACATTTCTTGGAATATCTTAGCCCAGTGATCTTCAGGAAATAAAGCAAAGCCGAAACAGCAACTAAGTAAGATTTCAAAAGTCTAAATTTTAACTACATGCTCCCTTAGCACTCGACAGCTTAGCCTGTAAAAATTAATAGCCCAATAAACGAGACCATTCGGGATTTAATTTTAAAATTGAGGGGTTTTTTGTAACGTGTGGTCTTCTCAGTTTTTCCCCCCACAGCAATGACAGAAATGCAGTTTTGTTCGCAGATCTCTAGGAAATGACTAGGTGCCCTTATTTCCCTAATAGGTAAGAAAACCTAAGGCCTCTGGCAGCTTCCAGCTGACGCCATCGCTAACTCCACACCCCCTTTTTTGACAGGATTAACGGCGGACTAAGCCGCCA